TTCCTGCTTAACAGGGTTTTTTTGCATTACACAATATATGAAAACCAGCGGATCAAATCCAGCCAAATTGACACATGCATGTAAAAGTGATTTTGTAAGGCAGCAGATTACAATATGCCTTTCATCCCTGAAGGATCCCTCCAAGGTTTGTGAGATATTCATATAAACAATTAATGAAGCACTTCCACATCTGGAGAGACAGCTGCAACCAGTTGAATCAAGGCGCACTACAAGAATGCATACTATAAGCAGAAAGAAGAAAAATTTTGTCAAAAACTACCAGAGCAAATTCCTGACATTACAAAAGTGCCCTGGCATCTTTCAATGGAAATAGACAGTATGCAGGAACATGGAGGTGTTAAGTTCTCATCTGAAAATCCCTACGTGGACATACAGATTAAACTGCACTAAATTCAGTATTTCCACCTTCAGAGGGATGAAAGGTCAGTTCAATCCTGCCCAGATTCACACCTGTTGTTCCAAGAAGTCTAGGTGCTTAAATGCCTAAACCATCCTGAAGGGATGGGATCTATAACTGACTAACTTTCAGCTTAAAAAAAATGAAACTGCTGCTGACATCAATGCTTGTTGATTTGTTTGCTCATCAGAAGTTTAGGTTTAAAGTATTTGCACAAGGTTTGGCCATTATATAAAGGTGAGTTGAAGAAAAATCTGTTTTGTCCAAAATCAAAACACATACGTCCTCCTTCTTTTCCTTTTTCTTCTTCCTGGGGTGAGAGTCAGATTCCTGGGAAGGGGCATTGAGCTCGCTGGAATATTCTCGTATTAAGACTTCAATGGCCCCTTTAATTATCTGATCTCTTCTCTTCGTTTCCTCATCCAATGCTTCATCGTCATCATTTGTGGTCTCTGGTCTGGAGTTCTAAGGAAAAACAGCAAAGTAACCCGAATCAACAAATTTAGAATAGTATTAGTTTTATGTCATAAGTTCACCTTTGATCATCACATTCATCCCCCTACAGCATTTACAAAAACAAAACAAAAAAAACCAACCAAAAAACCAAACCACCTACAAGTAGTTATCAATTGCATTATTTTAGTCAGATCTTTTCACACTGGCAATACTGCAAGGACCACATAGTTTTACTTGTGGGATGGCTGCAGAGAGCAAGCGTAGGATTCATAATAAAATAGAACAGGTAAACGGTGATTAAGGTGGTAGACAGGAAAAGAAAAAGCGCACGCATGCTCACAGAAAGGCAATCGCCATAGTCCAGCTCTTGATCAAAAGTTTCTGCCTTGTATTCTCCAGAACTTCAAGTCATTTCAAGAGCAGTTCCTCAAAGCCTTCAACTTAAGTGCCATGCAATAGAAATGTCTACCTGTAACTTTGAAGCTGCAACTTATAATGGGAGAACTATTTTAAAGAAACATTGTTAGGGAAAACATTCCTTGCACAGTGAACATTTTCTTGTTATTGTTCATCAATTACTTCGCTCCTCATCTTTTTGCTCCTTTCCACCTTGTAGGGAAGAAAGGGAACACACACAAAGAAGTACATTTCACTAAATGTTACATGAAAGGGTAGAACAATGATCTGCATACTGAGCAAGGTAGCCCACCTCTTGATCCCCTGAATCTTTTAAAAAAATGGAATCTCACCTGAGAATCCAGCTGGGTATCCCGTCAAGCGATAGGTGGTGGGTGGAGTGAGGGGGAGGGAAGGGTCTGATGGAGCAGCAGCTAAGAATGAGGGGGAAGGGAGGATTCAGTTGGAGCTGAAGAGGCTGCCAGGCCAAGGAGAAGCAAGCTGAAAAGAGCTAGAAGGCAGTGACAGGGAGTGGAATTGAAGAGGTCCAGGGAGAAGAAGTGATCAGGGAGAGGAGCTAATTAGAAAAAAGGTTTGCTTGGTGTGTCTCTATAAGAAATTGTGTTGTAGTGTACACATTCGATTTCTTAATAAAAAAAGATTAAAGTTGCAACTTTTGGATCTAAGTGGCACCGGTACACCAACGATGGTATGAAAGGAATTGCAATCAGTATGATTACAATACTCTTCATCAATATTCCTCAGCAATTCACAGCCTTTCTTTGCACCACCATGAACAACAACAACAAAAAAAAAAACATTTGGAGCTAATCTCACTCTACAGTTCAATGGAATCGACACATACTGTTGTCTTCACCAAAGCCACAAACAGTACCCTCTGCTTTATTACAATCAATCCTGGAGGATTGATTGTAAGCCACAGGAGCCCGCAGAAAACAAAATTCATGAGAGATGTACAAGAACTCCACTGATACTTTAAGCTTGTTTCTAGTATCAGCTGTGCACAGTATTACAGGTGATGCCAACAGGAAAGTTGGAAGTATGGAATGGAAGGGGCAGTCAAATCAAACCCTTACCTAGATTAACAGCTAAAACATTACGCCATGCAAAACCCATCAAGTTATTACTCTGCTTTACTCAGCCATTGCATTTAATCTCATACACAGTCAAAAATCTGTCAAGTATTTCAAGTCATCATTACGCCTCTAGTTCTGGTTAAATGGAGTAGAACACAAAGTACTTCTGTTCCCACTGTATTTTACATACCTTTAAGAAAAATTCCAAAATGGACTTTTACAAATCTACCCGCTACAGTGTGATTAGAATTTTTACTTTTCTGAACAAGAGCCTCTTCTCACTTTCATTTTACAGAAAATAATTGTTTTAAGTACTACCTTAAGGTATATGCAGAACTTTAAAACAGAGACCAAGCCCAACGACTTGTGATGTGAATATATTATCTTAGCAAAGAAATAGATAAAATTCATTTTAATGCAAATTTGTCAGTTAAGTATCTTTCTCTCTCACAAAAATTCAACATATCAAATACCTGCAATTATTCCAGAACAGATCCTTAGCTCTAGAAAGGGATGGTACAAAATCAACTTCCCCATCTACTAAACGTCTGTAAGCTGCCCACTGCTTGATAACTGCATCATCTACTGAATGATCTATTTCTTCCCTTTTCATTAATTTGTTTTAGCAGATCATCAGTGGAGGGGAGAGAAACTCCAATTCTCCTCAGACAGCTGATTTACAGACTCTGACAGAGTAACAATTACCTGCAGAGTTTATATACTTTGAAGAGTTTCTAAACAAAACCGAAGCAACAGAATCGTTAAGGTATAGCACGTATTACTACGTAATTCATTTAGAATGAATTACAGAATTAATTCTAGAGATTCAGTTGTAGCTTACAGATAAGTTTGATTGCTGGTGAATTAAGAGCTTACACTTCACTGCCTTTCAACATATCTTCAGACTCATTAATGGGATTCTGGCGAAATCCTAAAATGAATTAAGGGCAGAGACAAGAATAGAAACTAAGAGAGATACTCACAATCTGATCTAGGAAGTATGTTACATTGCCCTCCTGCCAAAATAACACAAGTCACACATTATATACGTACCCCATTAGAAGCCTTTTTCTTTGCTTTCCATTCATCTAGCTGAGCCTTTGTCTTTGCATCAACTTTGACTAGCAGCTTCTTCTCTCCAATCTGGAGGTCATGGAGTAATCTCAGTGCTCGTAGTGTGGATTCTGGTTCTTTGTACTCACAAAATCCAAAAGCTGAAATGGATGATTGAAATGAAAAGTAAAAGTGTTAAAGCTCTTCAGGTAATTTACTTTGTGTAAAAAAAAGTGGTTTGAATCAATAAACTTGGAACATAGAGGTGTTCTTTTTTAAAACCAGGAGTACACCATCATAAAAAGTTAGAAAGATCATTCACTGCATTAGTCCTTGCTATAACTAATGGTCCAGTGAATAAGGTGAAAGCAATACATTGTGTTTGTAAAGCTTTTGACACGACTGTCTTAACTAAGGAATGCATTCTATATAAACACATGTCTCAGATTTGGAATTGTCTGAAGACCAAGGACATCAATCAACAGCTCACTGTTAATGTAGAGGGAGAGCAATTCCAAACTAGGTTCTTCACAAGTTACAGAAAGTTGTAAATGAGAAAAACACCTTATTACAGCAAAATAAACAAAGTATGATATATAAGAAAGCTGAAGAAACTGAGTAACATCTTAAAAAAGAAAAAACAGCCTAGGGAAGATATGAAAACACCAACAGCAAAAAATAGTAACCAAAATTTTTTCTTGTATCCACTGGAGAAAGGTCACAAGAAAAAAGAAACCAGTTCAATTTGAGGAAAAGGAAGATAAATTTTACATCAGGTAAACCTCCTTAACAGAGAAGGATAACACATAGCAATGGAAGACATTACTAAGAGTGTTGCAAATATGCTCCTTTGGAGGCTAAGTCCAAACTGGTAAACCTTTCTCAGGGATGGTCTATAAACTCCCAATTCAGTCTCAGAACAGAAAGGTGAGCAAAATTAGGCCCCCGAGACATCTTCCCATTTAACCTTTCTCAATTTTATTTTTCTCTTTCTGTCTTGATTCCGAGGACAGAAAGTACTAGCCCTTTACTAGGAAGCATTTAGCAATTAAGTATCATATACAGTATCTTAAAATGTAAAAGTATTAACAGCAGCAATGTGTCAGACATTTGAAAAGCTGCCAGGTAATAAAAACAAGAGTCTGACTAAAGATTTTGAAAAGTGTGAACGATTACCTTGAAGTTTTCCAGATGCCCCTTGTACTCTCTTCCAACTCAAAACCAAGCCACATTTCTGCATTAAAGATAAATATTATTCATTAAATATTACTGTTTATGTTCAAAACATCACAAAAACTTAACCACTTTTTGCAAAAGATGACATGTAAAAAGGGTAAACACTACTAAAATTAAATTATGTCTATGTTCACTGACACCTACAGCTTAGAAAAGCTGTACTATTCACTTGCTGACTTTAAACTCAAGCATAACGGACTGCTATTCCAGTGAGTGGGACTAACTCTTTTAGTTTCAATCCACTGCTTGCGGGTCATTACATCATTACATTCATCAATCAAGGATGAAATTCAACAAGCAGTCCACTGTACTTACTGCTAGAAGCTGCCGTATAAGCATGTCCGAGGCCTTCTCAGAAATGTTGCCTACAAAAACAGTGGTAGTGGGACCGCTGTTTTCATCGTTTTCTTTATTCTTTAAGCCAGGGTGTTCTTTTCTGGCTCCCAAATGTTTTCCAACCATAGACACTGTGGTAGGAACTAATACCTAGAAAAGAGGAGGAGAAGGTGTAAAATGAAGTGTTGGGTTTTGGGGTTTTTTTGGTCCGTGTTGTGTCGTCGTCCCCCCCCCCACTGTATTTAAATCCGTAAGATTAAAGGGTTAGGGATATACATGTATTTCAAAATTAAATTTTCATACAAACCTTGGTTAGGCTTATGGAGTGAGACACCAACTTAAGACCTGTTCAGGCTTAAACACTATACAACAGAGACTGCCATTTTCTGGCAAAGATAGACAGAAAAAAAAGGTCTACCTGAACATGGCTACTGGAAGGTCTCAAGGTGAACACAGGTAACATTAGGTATTATTTCTTCTACAAATAACTAATTTGCAACATTTGGGTCACTGGCATTTAAAGTATCTTACCTAATAGTGTACTAAATTCTTAAAAAAGCACGCTGCGAATAGAAAAGTAACTCTGACTCAAGGCTTCAATGGACACGACAGGTCTTAAAGCTTTCACAGAGTGAATAAACACTGCTGCTTTATCTAATACAGAAGCCAAGGCCTCTCGCTTTGCGTTAAGGAGCAAACATTTATAAAATAACATACAGAGATACCATTTTGCTGCACTTCTCTCCTTCCACTTAAGATTTAACAGTACATATGCACCAAGTCCCTCTTCTCAAAACACCCTTCTAGAAGTGTCACTTAATAAAAATTATTTTAATCAGAAAATTGAACAATGCATTTGTTTCAGTATCTTTGTTTGAAATAAACCAGTTACCACCATGAACATATCCCCCTGTAACAGATAATACAAGCTATCAAAAAACTCAGTATTTTGGGGAGATTTCACATATGCAAAATGTTCGAAATGGTAATTCACCTGGAAGTCAAGCTCTTTAAAATATAACAGCACCCCTCCATCCCCTATAAATCATAAAGCTTCCTTCCAACTAGAAATTTCTCACATCCATAGATGCATATTACATACAACTACTCCTTCCCCTGCAATATGGGAAAAGAGAGCTTGTTTGTCTACATACATCTTCTGGCCAACTCAGCATGATGGCCTTAGAAACACAGATGAGGTGATGCCTCCAGAGCACTCTCACACAAACTCAAAAGCAAGAGAACTGGAATCTAACTGATCTAACTGTACTGCATAGGAAGACCACATATGACCTGAAGGCAAAGCCTACATCACTGTATTTGAAAGAAGTACATCTTTTTGCAAGAACAGTAATTGCTTCAGCTTTGCACCTAGCAGCTCCAAACATTACTTCAGACTTTGTTTTGATCAGAAATCAGCATAATATTTGCCTAATAGTTGCATTTAATGTGAAGCATTTCCTTTCATAGTATGAATTCTGATGGAATAGAGCAAAACAAAAATACCGTTGACACCTACTACGTTTTACTCTCTGTTTTATTTTGCTACCGCCTCATCCCCACTGAAATACTTACAGTCGGAGCAGGAGCCATAATGCCCATTGGTACAGGAATCATAGGGGTCCCTGAGAAAAGCAAGACATTAATATTAATCTCCTCTGTTGAGATTACTGATGAATACAAATGGACTGATCATGGACATGATTTCCAAACCAGACAGCAATTTTGGTCAAATAAGAATTTCAGAGTATTGATTACCAGAAATCCCTTAAGCATTCAAGCACAGCCTGAGTACACTAATATACCATGTGCATCCTGGTCACTTTTATCATATTACCATTTCAACTTTGTTCATCACAAACAAGTCTATTTTCAAAGCACATTCAAACCACAGTATTGTGCTAGAAGATAGCTGTGTGATGAATGAGGCAAGGAATTCCATAGAGAGCAAAAGCAGCTGAAGTCCTACAGATCATAATCTCGTTCCTGACTTGCTCAATTGTCATAGCACAATTGATTCTGCATACAGCTTAGGGATGAGGCCCTATGGAGCATGCCACCAGGTTTCGTGCTACTATTTATGGAATAGCTTAATAAAATGGCATAGAAAACCTTGATTCAGAAGCTCCCTACCTGATGAATACCTGACAGTCTCTAAAATTTAATTTAAAACTATATTTAATCACATGGAACCATGCAATACCTTCTTTCCCTCTAAGTACTATCATGTGAGCCAATATCGGATCGTAATAAAGGCTGTTTATTATCTTTCCATGCCAACTGCTAGAGGAGGTTAAAGATATTAAGTGAATGGATTTCAAAACTACTTGCTGGCCAGTAAAGACACTGAGACTCAAGAACAATGAAGTCAATCTCATGTTCATCAGAGAAATACCCTCTAGGGATCCTAGATCTCTTTTTTTCATCCTACAAAAAAATTTCTTCATCTTTTACTCTCAATCTTTTCCTTTTGATCCTTCCATTCCCCATCTCTCTTACTGCTGTACTCATAAAAATCCTAACCAAACTTCTGCAACCTACTGCTTCCCCCGACTTTCTCTAGTGCTTAGTCCTGAAACAATACTTCTCCTCAGACACCCTATCCAGCTTTCTCCTCATCCACTCTGGTTTTGCTTTGATTCCATCATTTATTTTCTCCATCAGTCAATCTTCTTCCTGAGTCCCTTCATATTCAAGTCATACTACCTCCTATCCCTCCAAACCGTTCAGAGAATCAAAAGGTGTATTGCTCTCCCATGCTCTCAGTTTTAATGCACCATGGCATCTCACAGTCCGGAGGAACTACTCCAAGACAAGACTCTGGTTGTGCAGCCCTATAACTATTATAATTACAATGATGCTGAACTTGGATTTTAAAATTACAGCTCAGTAAAGATACTTCTGTTATCACTGACAGTTCTCTGAAACTATCAGCCCAATGCTCAGCAGAAGCCAAAAAAATCCACTGAAATGTTGGGCACCATCAGCAAACACACTGATCAAGACCGCAGGCATCATTTAGCTGCTACACAAAAACCTGGTGCACCTATACCGCGACTACTGCCCACAAGACCCAGCCTCTGCAACCCATGAACAACATGCAGCCTTAAAGAAGAGCAACTGCACAACTTAAGTGTTGAAGCAGCTGCTTAACTAGGAAAGACTCTATACTCTGAGATTCTTGAAGTGTGGAGGTTCGGAAGGTATGGAACATGACCAATGTGTACAAAACCACAAAACTCAACTTACTCAACTCCCACATCAGGACTGAGGCAGGAGAGGGACACTAAGAATGCAATGAGTTTTAAGATAGACATAAGAAAGTAGCACTTTACACAGTGGGTAATGAACTCAAATTTGGTGCAAGAGGTGATGGTGTAGGTGGACAGTATCCGCAGGCTCAAAAAATATCAAAGTGTTCATGAATGACAGGTCCACAAAAGATAATCTTTCATTTTTCCTTTAACATCCCTAACACTACAGTCACATGAGGGAACAGACTCAGAAAGCAGACAGGTGTACATGCCCACCCTAAATACCATCTTAGATTCCCACAGCCCAGACAATGCATCAGGCTATATGGACTGCTGGTCTGACCCACTACAGCATTTCTTACATATGAACAGTAATTTTTTTTACATCTTAATGGTATCCAATAATCTTCAGAAATGACAAGACTTATCAGATCGCCTCCTTATCAAATCTTCCACACTTAGAAATGGAAACGCTAGAACTTCTTGATTTTAATAGTCATATTTTTAAGTAAAGCAAAACACTTCTCCTAACTTCATTCTTACACAAACTGCTCTAGTTGAAACTTTTCAAAAAATTATAGGCTGAGTAAGATAACCAGAACATGACATTTTGGCCAAACAGCTCACTAAAGATAATATTATAAGCTACTAAAACTGTGATCTTACGTGTGGAATAACTTCAGAGTAGGCTTTCATAAAGTCACTGTGGCATTTTCAACTCTATTGATACACTTGCGCTAAGAAATGAGAGATCCATATTCTCTGCCTGTCGAAATATGTTATCTGCACAGGTAAGCAAATCGTGTTTCTAGTGTACAGAGAAAAATTTAATTCTTGCCCAATACCAGGCTCCTCCAGTCTACACACTGTCTGGATTACTGATACTGAAACAAGACTATTTTTATTTAAAGTTGAACACAGCAAGAGAACAAAAAGATCTTTGTCATACATGTTAAGAAGCAAGTGTTCAGAGCAGAAACTTGTATCAGGCATTTTAAAAATATTACTCAGAAAGTTATTTTTAAAAGTATCTGGTGTTTTTCACACTAGTATATATAATCTGGAGCTAGTAAAGATAAGAGGCATGGTTTTAAAATTTATCCTGAAATTTTTGATGGCAGAACACTACCTAATCAAGAGCGCTCTGCCTTTAGTGGAAAATAGGTAACATCTCATGGATCTTGGGGAAAAAAAAAAAAGTTTAGAAAGATTAATGCAAGTAAGGATTAGCTTGATGAATGGATGTGCACAAACCATTCCTGAGTTCAGCCATCTGGTTTTTGAATGCCTTTATTGTCTACAAAACACTTGTGCACAACACAGCTTAAGACCATACAGAGAGGAGTTATTTTCTGCAGCCCTTGTGATGAATTTTAAAGGGGTAATTCTCTGAAGTATTCCTCCTTCTCATTCGCTCTGCGGTCTCCTGCCTCCAGTCACCATTATCTATACTGGCAACGTACAGAAAGAAGGTGGGTCCAGACCAACAAATTAAAGTCTCAATGCAAAAAACAGAGGTTGATCTTACAGATGAAGAAAAAATAAAGGTGGGATTAATTTTGGGAAGAATAGAAGGAATGAGGAACATAACAGTAAGTTTGCAAGATGTGTGGAGGAAAGCATGTAAGATGCAGAATAAAAGAAAGTAGGACTTACAAAAAAGTGGAGAAAAACAATGCACAAACTTGGACTTTCTCTGAAAGTTACTCCTATACTTTCACAACACACTTACGTAGTATATCCAAGCATTTCCAAAGGCTATTACAATGGCTTATTTGAAAGGAACTGAAAATAACAGACTATTGTCAAAACAGTGGCTCTTAGAATACCTAATGTTAACAAAAATCATCACCTAGCTTCAGTCTTGGGGGGAAAAAAAAAAGTCAAGGCAAAGTCCAGTATTGTCTCTAATGGTTCGATTTCTGGTCAGAAGCAAGCAGCTTTTGGTAGACCAAAAGGAGCTTGCTCACATGACATGATCTGTAGGAAAACTAGAAACTCACTTGCAACATACACGGATCAGAGTTATTGAAATACATTAAGAGTCAATAACTTTTGTAAATAATACAATTCAGAATAATAAAAGATAATTTATTTCTACAACAGTTCCGTAGACTAACGTAACTTACCAGGAGGTACAGGTGGAGGAAAGCCAGGAAACTGTGGAGGTGGGATCCCGGGGGGAAGTGTTGGGATTCCCATAGGAGGGCGATTCAAATGAGGTGGAAAAGACATTCTTCCAGTCACAATCTGTCAAAAAGATAGAAAAGGAAACTTGTACTAGTCAGTTCCCAAACACGAATTACAAAAGCAGTGCAAATGATATATGTCCATAATTATTTTAAATCTTTATATGGACATTCAACTACAAACTAAAACTATATTGAACTCTTTTCCCCCAGCTATTCACTAAGTTACAAATGTAGTAGAAGTCTTCTTTTACAATGAAAAAAGGCACTTCTAGGGAAGTGTTTCAGAATGAAGTGAAAACCAAAACTATATCCGACTCCCCATTCCAATAGTTTACAAGGAGTGTGAATTAAAGAAAATGTACAAACTGTTAAATGCTGTTTAAAATAAAACTATCTTTTGCAGTATCTGAAAACAGAAGTAAACTTGCAATACATTCTCAGTAAGGCAAGTACTTCTCTTGTACAAGAAATGATCGCACACAATGCAACTGTGGAACAAGATGACAGAAAGAACTGGGACATCCCAATGCTCAGCATTGACAGGAACTGTATTTAAGACAACATTGGGGAGATCCCCAAATTCCAGCATAGAGATGGTTAAAAGCTTGGACGAGGGTTCTCTGATCTATTTTTAACTTCCCAGTTCACACATCTTCTAGAGCTCAACTTGGACGATAGCCCGTGAGCTGAGAGTCAATATGCGACCATGGAGAGTAAAGATTGTTTTAACATCATTTACTATTCAGATGGTTATTACGTGTGTATTACTGATCCTGTAACAGACATCACCCAATAATATAAAACTCAAGATCACTCTTAGCACAACTAACAAGACATGTATTCTTGCTTCCACTATCATCTCAGGAACCTTACATGGTCAAGTCTACAAAAAAGGTTAGCTCTCAGTTCCAAACGAAACCAAAACTGGTCACCACTATTACTGCTGAGCATTCAGGTACATTCACACTGCAGCGAGGAAGCACTAGAGGAACTTCAAACACACTGGATTGTGTGGATACGAATCACAAAGCCCCCAAAATGACGGATTTTTGTCAGGTCTCTTGACTCAAAGCGTAGTCAATGTAGGCTGTGTTTGTGCCAGCAAACAGGGCAGTACAACAGGAACGGGTCTTTTTAAACAAAACAGATGGAGCCAAGACCATAATGTACACCCTACATGTTTTGAGGGGGTCCATCCCACTGGAATGAATGCCCATTTGCAGGTAAGAGTGCATTTTTCAAAATATTTTCATTCAAAAAGAATCCAGTTCATCCACTAGAATAGTGCAAACCAATACAAAAAAAAGGTTTCCCAAGTGAGGATGACTATGAGACTTAAAGCACACTCCTGATTCGAGTTAACACAGTAATGTAGGTGCACATTTTATTAGCCTTAGGCAATTTTTGTAAGCTGCAGATTAATGATGTCATGGATGGCAAAACATCTAAGCTTACTCTAAGCAGACCCAGCTATTAACTAAAGCAAGTGCCACACAAACACAGCTATAATATTCCAGGTTCAACTTTGGCCTAGAAGGAGTTCAGTTGCTTTCATACACTGCTCTTCTGAGTTAATAAGTCCTGGTGGAACCAAACACCACACAGAGCCAGCTGCACCAATCTTCTGAAACTTGGAGAGAGTACAGGAATACCCATATGGCTCTAAGTTTTGGTAAAATCCACCGAGACTTGTTAATTATGAGTCAGTGCTATCCCTGCTGGGCCGGAGCTGTGTCCATTAGAAGCACACTAGCTCTGACGTACAACTAAACAAGTGCACAGGGCTGGCCTGAGGGCATGCTGGATTCTGAGATCACACAGAACTCCGAATTACCATGAAACAAGATCATTGTCACTCAGACATTGCTGCCCCATGCTTCTTTCTTATCTCTGACTCCCAAAAGTCCCAATAAAAGGGGACTGACTAGATGAGAAGACAGTACTGGTCTGGCTGCACTGGTAATGTAATTTTTCTCTTCTTTAAATTTTTTTTTTTCCCAATTCACTCCATTATTTTTTATAAAGGGGTGAAAAGATATATCACAAACAGAACGTAAATTTAATAAAAATCACTGGTGACTAATGTATTTTAAACTGACAATTATATCACCTACTCAGGACAGCCTCATAATTCTACCAGTGTCACAGGATTAATCTCCTTAATATCTCTGTGTTTACATGTCACAACTTTTATTTAAAAACCTGTAAAACATTTTTACCATTTTCAAAACAGTTACGTTCCCCATGGAACAGTTACAATACTTACTGTTGAGCTGCTATTATACTAAAAGTTAAAGTTAACTGTAAAATTCCTGAAGTCTCAATGCATAAACTTAATGTGTTTTAAGAACACATACATATAGTGTCATAACAGCAACAACAGTGTGGCTGATCAAGCTTGATTTCATTCTGTCCAATTTTAACTTCTCTTCAACATTTTCCAATACAATTCTGCACCACAAAAAAATCTGTGCACTTAAGTCTAGCATAAGTTGCACAAAATAGCTGTGCAAGTTAGTCCCTCAAATAAGGGAGCTGTAAGTGCAAAACTTGTTTGGAATTTTTTTTTTTCCCCCAAGTTAACTACAATCCAGCTTTGACTATAATCTTAACATTTAGATTATTACAAGAGCACCTGACAAAACCCACACCTATTGTAAGTGTGTAACACTATGCTATTTAGTAACACCCTGGTTAAAGAGATGTTATACCAATACATTTGATTTGTATATCCATGTTGTTATGTTTCACTGAAATGTCCCTAAAGAAAAGCTTTCACACATAAAAGTGGTTTTAATGCTTTTTAAGAATTAGAATAATTCTTATTAAGGATCGCACAATGCTTCAGCATTTGATTCTAATGTCAATACCTAGGCAGCAACAGAGAATGAATAATAGTTTCCTCTAGTTTATCACAAAGCATTTTATATATTTTGTTATACGATGGGTGCAGCTGATCAAAAAAAGCATTTTCAAAAGCAACTGGAGAAAACATATGCAGTAAACCAAACTATTAAAGTCAGTACTATCACATAGGCTTTTACATCACTCTTTACATGAGGTATGAATTTTTAAGCTGTTCCATTATAAAAATATATAACCCCATAGTTTGTCACCCATTGGAGATGCTGTTTATCTTATTCCTTCTCACAAAAAAAAAGCACTCCCTAAAAGACAAATCTGTAATTTCAAACCACTGTTTCTCTCAGTGAAAATATTCACTTTCTCAGAGCACCCTACAGTTTTCTCCAAAACTGCCTGCAAGCTAAGCAAGACATCAATGTCAAACACAACAGACACTGAGATAAAACATATCACAGATTTTCTAGGTATATTTATTTATGACCAAACAAAACTAATCTTTGCTCAAGCCTGTTTTTCAGAGGTGATTTAGAAAATGTGCACTAACTGCCATGAAATAAATTGCATCCCAAACTATTATTATTATGAAGCAACCCCAAAAGCAACATGCTTATCCAAACCAAAGTCTCAGTCCAAAAGCCCTTTTAACCAGGGCTCCATTAAGCATGTCACCAGAACTTTAAGGTCTTTGACTTAGTTTCTAATTCAGTGCCTCTGCACACATATAAAGCCGCAGTTAGTCAAATAAGCGATTCTCTAACTTTGCTATTAAGTCTTCCCAAAAGACTAACATGGCTGTGGCATTACAACATTTATGTGAATGGGCACTCCAGAGACAGAAGCAGAGAAATGTGAAGCACTATGTGCAATGCCACTCCTTTACATGAAAAGTAAGAAACTGTCCTGTTTTTCCTTCTTTGAGTTTGTTCTGGACCATCTTCCACAAATGCTGGTGCAATACGTGAAGAAATGCTTTCCTGCCTCACAAAAAATTACTAACAATCCGTACGCATGCATTTTTATCTGAATAGGCTGAGAACTATAGAACTTTAAGATTTCACTTCCTGTAAGCCCATGTAAGACCCACTACCAAAAAAAAAAAAAAAAAAAAAAAGTTGTGTTCGGGATGTTTGTTGTATTTAAACAAAAAACCCCTAAACAACTCTTTTCTTTCAGGCAGACAAAAGCTTTTTTCCACAATAGAAAAAGACATCATGAGCAAAATACACCAATATACGCATGGCAATTGCTACTGACACGGATGAATCACTCTGATTCTTTTATGCACAGGCTGCTAACACGTGTTTTAAGATGACTACCCCAGTCCACACTGAGGACATTAACTTCCCTGCCGCGATACCGTCGGGAAATGTTTCCTCTCAGGACCCGTTCCCCCAACGCCGAAAAGTGCAGTCCCACCCACAGTCAGAGGCGGCCCGGCCCAGGGGAGCAGTTTCAGGCGCCGGCAAAGCTCCGCCACAGGCCCGTCC